TCTGTTTTCTATTTGCAAGTTTTTCTTTTAATTCATTCTCGTCACATCAAAGACTATAATGTAGTTTCTTTATGATAATGGGCATCAAATATATCATATGATAGGTGTTGCTATGACTTGAAGACAGATTATTTGTTGGTGACTGAAATTTATGGGTGTAGGGGATTATACACATTTGTTTTACTGTTTTTGGTCTGATCTGTAATTTTTTCTTTTTCAAGTTGGATTAGGTTAGCTTGTTAGAAGAAGGTGTTATGTATATATTCTCAATCTCTGTAATTGGTATTTTCAAAAGTATAGTGAAACTGCTCTCTCTCTCTCTCTCTTTTTTTTTTGACAAAAGATAATTCTCATTAATCGAAACAAAAGATAGTTACATCCTGGAGCAAAGCCAGGCCTGAAAATCAAAGAAACGACTAGAAGTCGGGTACAAAGAAAGGGCCTTACGAGCCACCAAGTGGGCTACCCTATTACTACGCCGACCTACAAATCGAACACTAAACCCTGAGCGGTCCGCCAAATGTTGAATAATCTCAGCAAGAATAGCGCCAATACGACTATTGCTAGCATCCGCCTGGTTGATTTTATCAATCATGATCTTCGCATCATCCTCAAAGCACACCTCCATAATACCCCGATCCAAACACCAAAGGATAGCTTCCCGAAGCCCCAACGCCTCTATGACCATGGGATCATCAATGCTCGGGAACTGAAACCCAGCAGCCATGAGGACCGCTCTATCCGGAGTCATCAGGACAATCCCCCCCCCCCCCCCCCCCCCCCCCCCCCCCCCGCGGAATGAGAACCCCTCCTAGTAGCCCCATCCCACATACAAACCAGCCTATCATCCATCACCAGCACCGGCAGAGGAGGGGGGGAATTCCGATCCACAGGCAGCCCCACCCATTCCTCATACTGCTGGTTGTACTGACGCATCAGAGCAAGGATCCCAAACTGCTTGCCCTCGAGGACAACCTAGTTACGAGAACACCAAATTCTCCAAAGGACAGCAACAACCGCCATAAGGATAGATGGCTGAGTTATAAGGGACAGTAACCGCTTAAGAAACAGAGGGAAGGTGTGTTGAGGCAACCCTTCCCCCAGAGTATCCAACCCCGAATAATCCCAGACCGCCCGAGCCACCGGACAATAGAGGAACAAATGTTCCAAGGTTTCATAATCCCCCCAGCAAACCGGACATCGAGGTAAAACCGGAATTCCTCTGGCAATGAGGGCTTCCGTCGTAGGAAGTATACGATTCAAAACCTGCCAAACAAACACCTTCAACTTAGGGGACATGTTAGCCTCCCATACCCTGATCCAACTCGCCTTATCCATTCAACTAACCTCTGACCTCCACCGGCCCTTCCTCCTATCAAGGGTGACAGCTAAATGATAAGCCGACTTCACAGTGAAGATGCCCTCTGGAGTGTTATGCCAAATCAGCTTATCCTCCACCGGTAATCGCGGGAGGGGGATACTTTTAATGGCCTCACAAGTAGGAGGGTCAAACCACTGGCGCAATTTCTGATCACACCACCGACCCCCTTCCGGGCTGATTACCTCAGCAACTACTGGGCCTCCTTCGACTGGCAAGACCTGGGGGTTATACCTAGGGGGATCCAGCTGAAGGTCTGGAATCCAGTTGGAGTGAAACTGCTCTCTCCAACCCATTAATGTAATTAACACACATTCAGTTAGTAAAACATGTAAGTCTGTGTCTGTGTGTACTTTACTTTTTTGCATTGCAAATTTTACGATTCGTTCTAACAGTTGAAATTGATAAATGAAAAAAAGTAATTTGTCATCCAAGCTAATTCTATCCATTCAGCCAAATGAGGTGCATGATAGTTTTCACTCTAGCCAAGTTGAAATTGATGGTAACAACTAACAAGTAACATCAAAGTCCAAGCTTACTCTCGATATAAGGTTTTTTTTCTCCATAGAACTCTCAATATAAGTTGCAGGAAGATGTTTCTACACGTAGACGATTTTCAACCATATAATTAAAAACAACTCAACTGAATAACACGCGGCATTCGACCATTAGTCATGCAACTTACCCACAATGTTATCTGCTCGGTCTGTCATGTTTGATACCTGAGGCCGACCCGGTTCTGAAGTGTGTGATACCTTAGACAGGTACAATTTTCATGTATTGTATATCCATGTGTCGATCTACTTTGGAGTTAAATAATTAATATCATCTTTGTATTGTTTTGGTTGATATGACTCTGTTTCGTTCTTATCTTGTAAATTGCCTCTTCACGTTGGGAAGGCAATGGAACGGGTAGCTATCTCAATTCCCAAGACGTTTGCAGAAATGTTTACCTCGCACACATAGTAAAGGTTGGGGATTTTTCAAGAAATAGCACTGTTTAATTTTTTTTTTTCAAAAATAGCACCCAACTCCCAAAAATAGCACCCTTTTTGCAAAACCGCCACCCGTACCAGCGGTTTAGGTGAAAACCGCCACCCGGGGGCGCGTTTTTCGATGAAAACCGCACTAGTAGGGGGCGGTTTTGCAGACCGCATCCCCACCATGCGGTTTGTTTGCAGACCGCACCGCCACCATTCGGTCAGTTTTTTTTTTTTTTTTGAAAAATCCTAATTTAGGTGGAAACTTCAAACGAACGTATCTTTATGTTCGGGTATCCGATTGTCGCGAATTTTTTTTGATTCCGCATAACTTTTTGAGATCTTGCAATCCAAAGACTGCCAAAGGTGGTTTGGTCCCGCCTTCATCCCAAAAAATGTCGTTTGCTACCCCGAAAGAACTTTTTTCCGATTTCGTCAAACTTTGGACAACCATAACTTTGTGCTCCAAAATCCAAACGGTATGAATTTTTTTATTTCGCATAACTTCTTAAGGACTACAATTTTTATCATAGACATAATTTCAAAATGTACGTGGATTGCTGAGAAGAGCTTTTTTTCGATTTCGTCAAACTTTGGACAACCATAACTTTGTGCTCCAAAATCCAAACGGTATAAATTTTTTTTTATTTCGCATAACTTTTTAAGGACTACAATTTTTACTCGGAATGAATTTTCAAAACAGGATTTATTTTTGGATATACAGGATTTTGGGAATATCTTATCTTCCCTTCTCAGCAATCCACGTACATTTTGAAATTATGTCTATGATAAAAATTGTTTTCCTTAAAAATTTATGCGAAATAAAAAAAAATTCATGCCGTTTGGATTTTGGAGCACAAAGTTATGGTTGTCCAAAGTTTGACGAAATCGGAAAAAAGTTCGTTCGGGGTAGCAAACGACATTTTTTGGGACGAAGGTTGGACCAAACCACCTTTGGCAGTCTACGGCTTGCAAGATCTCAAAAAGTTATGCGGAATCAAAAAAAAATCGCGACGATCGGATACCCGAACATAAAGATACGTTCGTTTGAAGTTTCCACCTAGGTTAGGATTTTTCAAAAAAAAAAAAAAAAACAGACCGCTTGGTGGGGGTGCGTTCTGCAACCAAACCGCATGGTGGGGGCGCGGTCTGCAAAACCGCCCCCTACCAGTGCAGTTTTCATCGAAAAACGCGCCTCGGGTGGCGGTTTTACAAAAAGGGTGCTATTTTTGGAATTTTTCGGAGTTGGGTGCTATTTTTGGAAAAAAAAATTAAACAGTGCTATTTCTGGAAAAATCTCTAAAGGTTGGAGCCAGGCGACAAATCTGGATATTTTTATATGAAAGCTTATTTGGGAAATGAAGATTCCTATCAATATTCAATAGTATTTCATTTGAGAGGTCAAAATAGTGGTATGGGTGGATGTTGGTGTCGAGAACCGGTAGATTTCAATAACTCGAGTTATTGAAGGAGATATAGTAATGGATCTTATACCAAATACTAACACACCCCTCAAACGAAAGACACTCATAGAAACTTGAAGTTTGCATAGGTACGATACGGATACCATGTGCTAAACAAATGAGGGTCGTGGAGATTCGAGCACAATACCTCTCGATTACAGAAAACTCGGATACGTTGTCAACAACCCGCGTTGATTCCAATAACTCGAGTTATTGGGTAACGTTCCGTAATGGATCTTATATCACATACTAAAAATACGAGACTAGTTCATATTAGTAAGGGAACATGAAGATTACATCATCTTGTTATTTTTTCGTTTTGGGAAGAAACTCAAAAAATGATCGTGACGAATGGATATCAATTACCAGCAAAGGTAAGGATGGTCGTTAATGAATGGGTCTTCGGTCGAGATCCCTCGTACTAGACCCAACCAGGTCAATTTATAGCATAAAGATTTCTTGACAAGTCTGCCGATAAATAGAAACATTGATTTCCGGCTCATCCCATTTAGATCTGGATGAAGAATTTGCCACAGGCATGAACCATGAGATAGTCAACCTTCTATCTTTTACCTAATAAAAATTTGCTCTATCATTTTGATTGGAAGCTCTCAAAACAAACTGTAAGTCGGTATAAATTGGTTCATTGAGTTGTTTAAATAATAACATGAGTCAATCTTATAACAAACCTACGATCCATATCATTATGTACCGAATAAATCGAGAAAGATCATCAAGTGACACGAATTAGATCGAAATTGTCATTTTGGGTTGTGGCTTTGGAGGTGGGTGGAGTGAAGGGGGTGGTTCTCCCTCTATATATATATATATATATGCATACACGCAGAGGCAAACACATAGGCAGTGAGACAGAGAAACAGAGTGGGAGAAGTTAGACGTGGGAAAGGAAATGGAAGACGAAGTTGGCCATGATCATGGGATAATTATCATACCTTCAAGCACAATTAACCCACCAATCCTCATCCTAATCCTCCTCTTAACCCTACTACTAATCCTCACATCCCATCTTCTCAAAACAAAGAAGAAGAACAAAACCACCCAATATCCCCTGCCTCCAGGACCATGGAAGCTCCCCATCATCGGCAACATCCACCAGCTCGCCACCTCCGCCGCCCTAATCCACCGCCGGCTCGCCGAACTAGCAAAGCAACACGGCCCCCTGATGCACCTCCAGCTAGGCGAGACCTCGAACGTCGTCGTCTCTTCCCCTGAACTGGCCAGGGAGTTCCTCAAAACCCACGACCAGAACTTCGCCGTCAGGTCTCCCATGCCGTCGGGCAACATCATCTTCTACGACGCCAGGGACATCCTGTTCTCGCCGTCCGACGGGGCGCACTGGCGGCGGATGCGGAAGATCTGCGCCAGCCGCCATGGAGCTGCTTGGGGAACGGCGGGTGAAGTCGCTCCGGCCCATTCGAGAAGAAGAGGTCGGGAAGTTATTGAAGTTTATCCGCAATCAGTCACGCGACACAAGTAAGTTTTGGTAATATATATATATATATATTGATACGACTCGTATGCTCCAGACACATAGTACGCTCCATGCTTTTCCACCATTGATCTAATCTAATGACTATTATTATTTATAATTAACTAATTTCTTTTTAATAATTACAATTACTAACTACACCTGTAAATTATTATACGTCCATTACAATCCCCCAACAATGAATAATCATCTTGTATTGTATCATTGAGTAAATAAAATCGAAGCTGATGTTTGATACACCGTCATCGTAGTCGACTAGTCATCGTCCCTATATACAAAAGATTGGAAGGCGGCGGAGGATCAGGAAATCACCGGGAATTCTCATCTCCGATCCAAAACAACATCTACACCTCTACAGCGGCAGGCGCACTTATTGTGGGGAGATTATTTATTTTTTCGGTTCACCATGCTGCTCTCCCCTCTGTTATTTGTCCATTATCAGGTTGGGGGATTCGTTTGGCCATCTTATGTGGAATAATTTTTTGTGAATTGATATGGGAATAGTGGTTTGGTAGCTTTATTCCAATTTTGATTGAACTATTCCTAGAGATCCAGATTTCCAATTTTGATTAAACTATACCTAGGGTTCTAGATGGAATCAGACTGTGGAATCGCCTCATGTAACTGAATGTCTTTCTCTCGGACACGAAGGGGGCATAGGGGAAGGAGACGCAGCAGCCGCAGCGGGATCCGTATCTTGAGTTTCTATAGAGGGAGAACTTCTGACGGAGATAGTTGAGAGTAATGTGGTGGCGGTAACGGAGAGATGAACTGGAAATTATCCGAAGAGAGGGATATATATATAGGATGTGTAAAATTTCAGTGATCGACGATATGAGACGGCTAGGAATAGATTTGATGATCGTCAAGGGGGAGGAGAAGGTTCACCCACCAAGATGAAGAGGAAACGTGAAAGGATTTGGAGTTGGCCTTGACAGTATGAGAAGAAACAAAATACAAATGTAGAGAATGCCAAAATTGGGGATTAAATTATGGTTGGAAAAAGATTAGGTATTATAAAATTGATATGTCAAAATATGTATAGGAACTAACATCACGTATTAACCATTTAATTATCTTTAAATAGTAAATTACATGTAATTTAATTAGCATTAATAAATATTGTTAGATGAGATCAACGGTGTAGAGAATCTGGAGCATGCTATGCGTCTGGAGCATACGAGTCTGACCCATATATATATACTAGCCATCAATCGCTCTTTGCCGCGGATGATAAAAAGTATTTTGGAAATTTTCTTTTGTGTATAATTGGGGTTAGCAAATTAACCAAATACACAATATTTTTAAGTTTGATATGGGATAGTATAGGTTTATTCATTTATATTCATTACACTCACGCCTTCAAATCCCATAGTGGAAAATGACGACTTTCTAATAAGTAATAAACATATTTATTTATTTTTAATTAGACTTGACATTGAGCTGAAAAAATTAGTGGTTCATGGTTCAATTATTAATTCTCTAGACTGTTGGCCGGTCGTGTATGGACCCGTTCATACTTATGATTAGAATACATAAAAATAGTATACTAATTAGGGTTAGACGAAGATGGCAAAGAAATAAATAAAGAAAGGGTTATTGAAGGCAAGTGAAAATGAAACGAAAAGGAAGTAGATGATGGAAAGATTTTGACCAATTCTTTTAGTTGGTCGTCAATACAACAATCAATCCTTTTCACCGTAGCAATTTATTGACACTTGCTTTTGTAGATGTCGCATATTCTGTTACATGTAGTTAGTAGACGTTTGTTTAGTACCCTGCAAATGTACTAAATGAATTTACAAATTTGCTCTTGCAATATTTTAGAGTCATCTCTCTTTTATCATTTATTTAATGTTTCACATAATGAGAAAATATAAAATGGTCGAATCTTCTCCTGTAGTTGAGTGATACAACATATGGTATGGTACAAACTAAATTTATACTTTTATGTTATGGTGGATTGGATTCATAGATTGGTTCAAAAGGACTGGTGGATTGGATTCATCGATTCAACTGAAATTTAAATATTGGACCAATATGTAAATTTAAAAAATTATAAGTACGAAAATCTCATCAAATTTAGATACCAAAACATAATTGTTTAATCATTTTACATTAAAATTAAATTTGGGTATCAAAATGTAAAATGTACATTATAGTGACTAATTTGTAATTTGTTAGGCAGTGACTAATATGTAATTTGTTTGGTAACATTAACCAAACTTCAGGTTTATATATATTAAATTTGGGGTATCAAAATATAAAATGTGCATTATAGTGACTAATTTGTAATTTGTTAGGCAGTGACTAATATGTAATTTGTTTGGTAACAGTAACCAAATTTTAGGTTTATATATATTAATAATATAATATATAATAAATTGCTATGTATGTATATACCATAAGGATACTTTATCGCTAACTCAAACCTCAATTATTGACATTTTGTTACACTATAAATGAAATCTCCGTTTGTAACAATTTATTTATATATTAAAAAGAAGCATCTAATTTCAACTCCTGACTTCGTCACTCTTCGTATTAGCGGTCGTGGCAACAAAGCACGGAGGAGGGATGGTGAACCTGAGCGAACTCTTGATTACGGTAGCCAGCACGATAGTCTCGTGGGTGGCGTTCGGAAAGATCCGGGAGCTGGAGGGATCTTTCCTGTCGCTGGCGCATCGGGTCGTCCAGGCAATCGGAGGGTTCAGCGTTGGGGACATCTTTTCTTCCCGCCGGTTGTTGCAGCTGATCACCAGAACAGAGAGAAAACTGAGGAAGCTTCACAAAGAAGGAGATATGATCCTCCAAGAGATAATCGACGAGCACTTATGCAGGCGATCGACGGGAACAAGGAGAGAAACATATGATGAAGGAGAAGATCTGGTCGATGTCCTCTTGAATTGCACCGATGACCACGTTGAGGTTAAAGCTGTCATTTTGGTAAGTATTAATATTTTCGATCAGGGCTAAAGAATATTTTCGATTTCACCAAATTCACATTTTGTTCTGACTCAGCCTCATAGAGGCTCAAACACATGCTATAAATGTGCATATTTTGAGTAGTTTTGCCTGGGTAAATAGGTTACTATCATCCGCAAAGAGTAAATGAGATATCGTGGATGCCCCTCTGTTGACCTACATACCACTAATCTTTGTATCCCTTTCACACTTTGTAATCAAACCTGATAATCCCTCTACCACTATAAGAAACACGTAGGGTGACATGTGATCACTTTGTCTGAGTCACCTTCTTAGGTAGAAGCTTACTTTCCATTTGACGACCATTAACCAAAATAGAAAAGGAGGCTGATGTAACACAATGTATGATTATCTTGATTCATCTATCTGCAAGCCCAAGTATCCCCATGATTGCCTCCAGAAAACCTAATTCAACTCGATCATATGCATTTGCAATGTCCAACTTGACTTCCAAAGAACCTTGCCTTTTTGCACTCATAGTCATTGAGTGGGAACACTCTAAAGCCATCAGTATATCACTATATTGTCTATAATCTATCTCCCAAAAACAAAAAAAGTGCTATGATTTTCTAGTATAATCTCAAAATTTAAATACGAGATAATTTAATCAAATTATTTAGTTAGGATTCTGATACTGAGTAAACAATCACTTATTTCTGATCACTACACTCATACATTAGGTATGTGTATCCTTTCACGTAATTATTGATTAATATTTTGATATACACGGATGATGCAGGACATGTTCCTAGCTGGGGGTGACTCTTCTCCCGGTGTTGTGGAATGGGCCATGTCAGAGTTGATGAAAAACCCAAAAGAGATGGAAAAAGTGCAAAGAGAAATGAGGCGTGTGTTCGACAAAAAAGGGAAAGTCGTGGATGAAGCTTGTTTTGGTGAATTACATTATCTCAAATTGGTCGTCAAAGAAACTCTCAGATTACATCCTCCTGTTCCTTTGTCGATTCCAAGAGAGGGTAGAGAAAAGGTTGTGATTGATGGATACCAAGTTCCAACAAAAACAAGGGTCATCATCAATATGTGGGCCATCAACCGAGATCCCTCGCATTGGACCCAACCAGATCAATTTTTGCCAGAAAGATTCCTCGACACTTCCATAGACTATAAGGGTAAGGATTTCCACTTCATACCATTTGGAGCCGGACGAAGAATATGCCCAGGAATGAACTATGGGACTATTGTTGTTTATGTTTTACTCGCAAATCTGCTCTACCATTTCGATTGGAAGCTCCCAAATCAAATCAAACCCCAAGACTTTGACATGTCTGAAGAATTCGGAGCTACAACGGTAAGAAAGAATAAGATGTATCTCATTCCCATCCCTTACCATGCACAGTGAGCAGGAAGTACCGTAAGAAAAAAGAGGGTCAAATATACCATGTTTTGTTGTATTTGATTCCCAATAATACATTTGGTTGCAAAAAAAAAGTAGTATTTGGCATGTGACATTTGTGAGAATGCCACAAACATACTATTGTTGGAAAATGTACGAAGAGAAGTGAGATGTGTTCGATGAAAAAGGAAAGTCGTGGATGAAGTTATGACTTATACAATCTTAAGTTTATCTTTTTTTTTTTATTGGCAAATTTGTGATACCATATATTTTGATTGGAAATCTCTGAAATAATACACAAATAATGAACTCTTTCAAATTTATATTACAACAAATCACATAAATAGAAAGATTTTCAAAAGTGAAAAACCTATCATTTTCCACTATAAGATGTTTTCCCATTATAAGACAAGAAACCTAACAATTTGCTCTTCAACTTGTTGTTAATTATTGATTAGTGGCTGGGGTCAATTTCTTCAATAGTTGTTGTGACTATCGTTGGAAAATGTACAAAAAGAAGTGAGACGTGTTTGATGGAAAAGGAAAGTCGTAGATAAAGCTATGATTTACACAATCTTAAGTTTACCTTTTATTGGCAAATTTGTGCTACCATATATTTTAATGGGAAATCTCTCAAATAATACACAAATAATGCACTCTTTAAATTTATATTACAACAAATCACATAGATAGAAAGATTTTCGAAAGTGAAATACCCATCATTTTCCACTATAAGATGTTTTTCCACCATAAGACAAGAAACCTAACAATTTGCTCTTCAACTTGTTGTTAATTATTGATTAGTGGTTGGGGTCAATTTCTTCAATAGCTGCTGTGACTGTCACTTACCTATCTTGTAAAATACATAGGCTTCCACCCAAAGTTTGGGGGTCCGCCGACGCTAGGAGAGCAGGCCCGAAGAAGTATCATCTTGCAAATCCCCTGCTATATTATGCAAAACAGAGTCTCAGAAACAGAGGGTGAACTCAAACGATCATGAGATGATGATAATCTCTTTGATCACCAGTAACCCACTCATCCTCCTCCTCATCCTCCTCTTCCTAACCCTTCTTCTAATCCTCAAATCCCATCTCAAGCCGAACAATTCAACCTTTCCCCTGCCTCCAGGGCCATGGAAGCTCCCCATCATCGGAAACATCCACCAGCTCGCCTTCTCCTCCAACTCCGCCCTCATCCACCACCGCTTCGCAGAATTAGCGAAGCAGTACGGCCCCGTGATGCACCTCCAGCTCGGGGAGACCTCGAACGTGCTGCTGTCGTCCCCTGAAGCAACCAGAGAGTATCTCAAAACCCACGACCACAACTTCTCGTACAAGTCTTACACGCCGTCGGCCAGCATCATCTTCTACGGCGGCAGGGACATCGCTTTCTCGCCGGAGGGGGAGTACTGGCGGCGGATGCGGCGGATCTGCACATCGGAGCTGCTGACGGAGAAGCGGGTCCGGTCGTTGCGGCCGATTCGCGAGGCAGAGGTCGGGAAGCTGATGAGGTCGATTCGTGGTCGGGGCGAGAAGTTGAGATAAGGTGTGTCCCCTCTCAAAATTAATTTATAAATAGCTCAATCAAACCTGTGTTTTGGGACAGAGCCCAAAACTTACATATGTGTCTTGTTACAGAGCCCAACAGTACTTCTGGCTCCGCCGCGGATAGCGTCGGCGGCGGGCGAGCGATGAACTTGAGCCAACTACTGATCTCGATGTCCAGAGCCATGACATCGAGGACGGCGTTTGGGAGGATCCGGGAGCTGGAGGAAGGTTTCCTGCCGCTGATGCGTCGGATCACCGAGCAGCTTGGAGGGCTCAGCACGGGAGACATCTTCCCTTCCCACAGATGGTCGCATCGGATCACTGGAACAGAGAGACAGCTGAAGAAGCTCCACAAAGAAGCAGATTCCATGCTTCAAGGTATAATTGACGAGCATTTAGCAAAAATATCAGGAGGAACGGAGGGAGAGGATCTAGTTGATGTGCTGTTGAGGTGCACAGAAGACCACATTGAGGTTAAAGCGGTCATCTTGGTATGTAAAATTTACATAACATTTGCTCATAGTAACTTCCAACTTGATTCAAAGTCAATTAGTTAAGATTATGATACCAAGTTAGTAAACATCGATGAATCGGCTAGTTTTCCCACATTTATTATTGGGAGTTGTTAAAGGTTGCCCTTAAAATTGCTAAATGTCGCCCTAAAAAACATCAAAGTTACAAATTTAACCTTTTAGCTTCTTTACTTTTCCTTTAGCAAACAAACACCACTTATTCAAAAGAGAGAATCCATCATCGTCATTCTGGAGTTGGAAACGTCGATATGATGTCTGGATCATGACTAGCGACTCTAAATCGATAAAGTTCACTCCAAAAATTGAAAAAAAACAAAAAAAGGGAATCGTAGCTCATTTGCAGTTGCACCATGGGCCAACCGCAGCTCACTTGCGGTTGCACCATGGGCCAACCGCAGCTCACTTGCGGTTGGTCCATGGTGCAACCGCAAATGAGCTGCGATTGGTCCATGGTGCAACCACAGCTCACTTGCGGTTCCACCATGGGCCAACCGCAGCTCACTTGCGGTTGCACCATGGACCAACCGCAAGTGAGTTGCGGTTGCACCATGGACCAACCGTAACTTGCCTTAGGTTGAGCGTTTTTTTTGGAAATTTAGTTAGAGAACGTGCGACGACGACGACGGCGAGAAAGACGCCGACGGACTGGTGCGTCGAGAGGGATTCGCAAATAAGGCAGATGAGGTGTTCAGTTTGAGGGGTTAGGGATTGTTTGGTTTGTTTAAATTTTGAAATTTTATTGGGGGTATAAAAGTCATTTATCATTAGAGTTAGGGCGACATTTAGCGATTCAGTTATTATTTGTATGATTATATACATTGATGTACATGTGCAATGTAGGACATATTCCTAGCTGGGGGTGACCCTTCCCCTACTATCATTGAATGGATCATGGTCGAGTTGATGAAGAACCTAAAGAGATGGAAAAGGTGCAAATAGAAGTGCGAGGTGTGTTTGATGGAAAGGGGGGAGTAGTAGATGAAGATTACTTCGATGAACTACACTATTTCAAAGTCGTCGTCAACGAAACTTTCAGGTTACATTATCCTGCCGCTTTGTCGCTGCCAAGGGAGAGTCCGAAAATGGTTGTGATAGGTGGATACCAGATACCAACTAAAACAAGAGTCATTGTCAATATGTGGGCTCTCGGTCGAGATCCCTCGCATTGGACCCAACCGGACCAATTTATGCCGGAGAGGTTCCTCAACACGTCTCTCGATTATAAGAGGAATGATTTTAAATTCATCCCATTTGGAGCTGGACGAAGAAGCTGCCCGGGCATGAACTACGCGATTGCTACCGTGTATTTTATACTCGCCAATTTGCTCTATCATTTTGATTGGAAGCTCCCGAATCAAATCCAACCCCAAGAGTTTGACATGGCTGAAGAATTTGGAGCTACGGTTGCAAGAAAAAATAATTTGTATCTCATTCCCACCCTTTACAATGCACCCTAGGTAGCAAGTAATGAGGTGATGAATTAAGTCAAAGTGGTGTGTGATTCCATTTGTTTTAGGAGAAAAATGTGTGGTTTGGGGTTTCCGTCTAGCCAGAGTCTCTTTTTGTAATGCGTTTTCATTTCAAAATGTAAGAAGTAATAAAATCTCTCGTCTTTCTTCTGTCAAATTTGATAATCAAACTAGGGTTAGACCAAAGTGGTCCAAATGGTTACTACTATTTTAAGAGAGGAAGGAGGTTTTAGAAAACTCACACCAACATAGTCAATTAGTCTAAAATTCACGCCAATTTAAGGTATTAACCATTTACATTTCAAACAAAACTAATGTTATATAATCCCTCAAACCTTGTGAGCTATTTTGTACTATAATATTAAAATATTTTTTTGGATTCTAAGATGGTTATCAGTTTTCCTAAAAGTTATTCAGTGTTGTTCTAAAAATATTATAATTACATTTTTACTCTTCTATACATTTAAACTTTCCTTCACCCTACAAACAATCCATTAAAAAAAACAAATATCCTTAAGCACCCTTAAATCGTTAATATTTAATTCACTCAACCATAATGAAAATTTCAAATTTATACAAAAATTGGTTGAAGGGTCTAATGCCAGCTTATGATGCATCGGATAACCCAGAAGCATTAGGGTTCAGCCGAGGAGATATCCGTTTCGATCTCAGATTTTCCTTATTCTTCTAGATTTCTTTTACTTGTTGTACTAAGTCTTGTAATTTATATAAATCCTTTTCATGGTTAGATTTAGTAAAGAAGATGTCTCATCATGATTTGCCATAAGGAGCGCCCGACGAAAAAGTACAAGGCTACCGATGGCTATTACGGCGACGGTGAAAGAGAGGTGAAAGACATGGATTTCACGAAATTGGAGCTGAAGCCTGACCATACGAATCGCCCACTCTGTGTTGATGTGACTTGAATCGGACTATCAGCCGCTACGACTGGTAATCGGGGGTCTCGCTGTTATTTGGGTTCGGGTTCTGGGCTTGGTCTGTAACCGTTTCCTTTGTCAGATTGGATTAGGTTTAGACCCACATGGAGAAGTACTATAAATACTTCTCATTCTCCTCTGTAATCTGTAATCTCCTCGATATAGTGAAACTGGCTCTCTCTCGCCCGTGGACTAGCTAACACACATCGTGTTAGTGAACCACGTAAATCGTGTGTCTGTGTTTTTCGATTCTCGTTTTCGTATTCTTGCTTTGTCGATTCCGACGATTTCCCGATCCGTAGCAGCGCGTTTATAACACTCTGGACTTGTGGCGATGTTCGGATATTTCTTGAGACGTTGCTCTCCACTACACCAACAAGCATCCGACTTCCTCATCGCCATTGCAGAGCCGGTTTGCAGGCCAGAGTCGATGCACGAGTACAATTTGACTCGACATTCACTCTACGCCGCCACGGGTTCCGCGACTCTGGAGGCTGCCACCATAATCGCTGTTCTGAACAAGTTGTCCAAGACCAAACTGCCCAACGAGATGATCGATTTCATACACGAATCCACTGCGAATTGCGGCAAAGTGAAGCTCGTTCCCAAGAAGAACAGATACTTCATCGAGTCTCCGTATCCAGAGGTGCTCGAGAAGTTGTTAGAAGATGAAGTCATAAGTCGAGCCAGGATTGATCAGTCTGACAATGAACATGGAGAAATTGGCGGCAATCATAATTGGTTGTTGAATGAAGATGAAGAAACTCACTGCTACCCAAATGTTCCGCAGAGTCATCAGCTTGACCAAGTCTCACTGCAAATTGGGGCTTACTGCAACACTCGTGAGAGAGGACGAAAGGATCGCAGATCTCAACTTCCTCATTGGTCCCAAACTGTACGAAGCCAACTGGTTGGACCTTGTTATTGGATAGTAGTGGTTCGGCCCATACTTGCCAGCATTCGGGCATTGGAAGAAGAGCCCACTCAACCCAAGCATACGTGGATTCCTTAGTAGTCCATAATGAAACCCCAGTTACTTATGACAAACAGGGTTATATATGTATGTGTAATCATCGGCTACGACCAATTAACTAAGTGGAATAAGAGCTGCAGCCGGAGAGCTTTGCCTCTCCCGTGGATTAGTCTTGGTCGATCTATGATCAAGGATGTTACACCCTGCTCTTCCCAAAAGTCAAAATGACTATTATGCCCTTGGTCCAAATTTGTCAATTTCCAACATAATATCGGTGAGGACTAAAAATGTGAATGATCGGTTCAAACGGTGTCTAGCCTTGACCTAAAACGAGAAAGTTACGGACGGTAACTGAGTTTCGAATTAAACTCACCCGTAATAGTGAAATTCCCAAAATACCCTTGAAACCCTTAACCTAAACCAACCGGCTTCCACAAATGTCCACCGCGCATTATACATATTTATCACTTAAAAGACAAGAAACCTAAAAGTCTCGTTGCTAGTGGTGGGTATGTATAAATACAAAAGGAAGGGGAAAACCTTTCAGCCGCTCCTCTTTTCCCCCTCACATCACCGCCCCAGCAGTTCCCCCACTTGCATCCGTTATCAGCAGATGTCCCTCCCTTCTCCGACGGTGATCGATTTCCGGAGAAAAGGGTCACGGCCCGAATTGATCCCTCTCTCTCTCTCGGGAACAGTTGTCCATTCAGCAGCGGCAAGATGTTTTAGGTGATGGGGACGTGAGACTCATCGCGACCGACAGGATCATGCCAACGGAATCACGTCCAAGAAGAAGAAGGGTCATGCATATGGTAAATGCCTTGCCCTTTATAATTGCTTCTCATTGGCGGTCTGAATTAGTCAAACAATTGGTATAAGGGGTTGACGAGTGTTGCAAGAAATTGTGTGATGGAATTATATGATTGGAGTGAAAGTGGAGGAATCGTACGTAGGCAAATACTATGAAAAAAGTTAATGGTGGTTGGGTTAGTAGGTAGGATATGATGTAGTTGGGTTCTGTGTCCATGTTGATAATTATTAACTAACGGAGTCCACGTCTAGATCGGCGAGGATGGTATACGAGAAGCGAGGATGGAATCTGATCCATGGATGGTAGTATTTTCAAGCAAATCGATTTTGAGTAATAAGGTGAGTGTAAAGGGGGTAAATTCTACGCCTTACGGTTTTTCAAGTATTTGCTTTGAGTATTTTTTTAAGTATTAATTTACGTGATGTGCGTGCAGTATTTGATTCATGTTTGATATTGCATGATTATGTTTGATGATATGTTCGATGGTTGAGCTATGATTTGAAGTGAATTGTGGATGAGTTTATTTCTTACTTGAAGCTTGATGTCAATGAGTTAGTGTTAAAGTTTAAGAACAAGTACTTTTTAAGAAGTACTTCACCTTCAAGAAGGTGAAGTCTTTTTAAGTGCTTTTAGTCACTAGCGCCAGTCCGTTGCCTTTTGAGACATTTTGAGATGGAGCAGCAGTTATGCTCTTGAGACTTTTAAGATGAGCAGCAGTTGTGCTCTTGAGAATCGTTGTGAAGAGCCACCACGATAAGTTTAAGATGTTAGGGGGAGGAATCGTTACGACTTCCCTAACTAAGTTTAAGATTAAGGAAAGCCTGGATGGCTTCTCATACGTATGAGTTGGCAACCGGACTAGCTAGTGAGGGATCCCAGTGTCAGTCAAATATTTAAGTTAAGATTTGAGCTTTAAGAGCACAGTTTGAAGAGTTAAGATTTTTAATAGTGGAAGTACCAAACAACTTCCACTCAGTTAAGTAAAGTGATCAGGTATTAGTAAGATGTTAAACGTAAGGGCGTAGACTGACCCCAACTCACTCACCAGTTTGAAGAGGAAGAAGCTAGAGGAGCAGTTAGAGAACAGCGGGATCGGGAGAAACAGTTCGAGTGAAGCTAGCTAGAGGAGGACGGTACGTGCGTCACAGAGGATGTCTAGTCAGAGTTTTTCACACAAGCAACAACACTTGAGACTAGTTAGTTATTATGTTTTATGATTATGAGTATAGACTGGAGATCAAGTTGAGTTTTTAAAGTTCGAGTTTAATTTGCCCACATGTTAGGGCTTTGCTTTGAACTACAAGTGTGTGTTTTCAGTACTTTATTTAGAAAAAAAAATTCCCAGTTGCAAAGGATACCCGGTCGGGTTAGGGTTTTACAAAGGATACCGCGTTAATATCGTGTTTGTCTTTCAATTTCGCTACTATTTCTCTTGGTATCACAGCAATAAGATCCTTCTTCTGTTTCAATCATGGTTGCCGGCGACGAGTCTACCATCGCGAGTTCCACTCGTCCTAGTGGGGATAAGACTGCTGGTGGTGGTGACGGCGATGGTCTCCTTCCCGTTTATCAGTTACCTCTGTCGGATATTCCCGGACAGATGTTGGTGGGGGATGTTTTGACCTCCTCCAATTATGGCGAATGGGCGCTGGATATGAAGGATGCCCTCCTGCCTAAAAACAAGTTTGCTTTTGTTGATGGCAGTCTTCCGAAGCCCAGCTGCGGGTCACAGCAGGACGCTTGGTTTCGCTGTGATGCGATGGTGAAAGGATGGATGAAGATGGCGATGGACAAAGAAATCCCGAGTAGTGTCTGTTTTGCGGAAACTGCTCGTGAAATCTGGCTCGACCTTCACAATCGTTGTGGGTAAGGTAGTGCGTCCCGCGCTTATGGGTTACGGCGGCTGATCAGCTTGCTCCAACAAGAGAAGCACTCTGTCTCAGCCTTCTATACCAAATTGCGGTCTTTTTGGGAAGATTCTAATGCGATTTCTCCTCCTCCGCATTGCACTGCGGCCTCTGTGTTTGCAACGTTTCTCATCGTGTGCGGGCGCAGCAAGACAATTCTCGCTTATTTGATTTCTTAATGAGATTGGATGATACTTTTTTTAGGCGTGCGCACACAGGTGCTTGCCATGAGGCCCACGTCGAGTCTTGCTGAGGTATTTAATATCGCTCTCAATGAGGAACAGCAGCGTCTTATTTCTCAGATTCGGAAACCTTCCAGTGAGGCAGCAGTGTTCGCTGCACGCAGTAATGGCGAGCAA